ATTTTCATGTTACGGAAGCGTCTATGTGAATTATATACATAAACACAAGTAAGATGACACCCAGTTAGGGTTTACCCATCCTGAAAAAGGGTAAAGACTTGCCTAGCTACAACGTTCCTGCCAGCCGATCAGTTCTGGACACAGCTAAGCGGCATGTTTTCCAAGTACTGGTTCTAGGAAATATTATGCATAACTGTTCTGCTGTGATGCATGCAAGAACAGTGAGGAGCTGTTTGTGAAAAGTTGTGCTGCTTCACTGCTCAAGCTCATTTCTAAGCCTTTTGTCCCCCTTGCTTGATTTCACTTCAAGGAAAAACAAGAAAGCATATAAAAGAAATAATTCAGCTATGGAAAAAGCAGACCCAACTATTTTTAAGATTCAGCTGAAGCCAAAAAAGCTTAAAAGTGCTATATTCTGTGGTATCGACTGTCCTTTACCTGCAGTTAGTAGGATCAATTTTGTTCAAAGGTGTAACGTATACCTGGTACCAGCATTTCTTTCAAGAAATACTAGGTACCAGGAAAATCTGAGAGAGGTCAAAAAAGCTTTGCTCATTTAATGCATTTCTACACAGTGCAATAAGCACGTTTTCAGCACAAGTGTACACACAAAAGAGCATTCTAGGCTTTACACAGTTATCAGGCAGGGGAGTCATGGGAATTCTGCATCTCCCGTGGACATTCTCAACTTCTCTTCATGCTTTACTATACATCTCAATCATTATTCATTTTTTGAGACAGATTTTAAGCTACAAAAATCATTCCACTACATTAAACTCTATGACTATTGCGTATCAATCTTTGTTTCCTGGACTCCTCATTGGATGCTCCTTCCCCCAAAATGGGAGATGAAATATGTTAAGTGACATTATTGGTGGACTTAAATATTTAATTTTTTTATTTGTTTTCTGAAATTTCCCCCATTAGTTCCAATGGCCAAACTACGAAACAAATTTTACATACCTCTTTCTCTTGACTTCGTGTTTTTTCGTTACAGTCACTGTAGTTACCTCTTGTTACTTTTGCAATCAGTGTTTTTAATTGCATCTTTTTGTTTCTGAAACATGACTGAAAAAGCTTAAATCCCCCTGTGCTACGTTATTTATTTGTGAACTGATTTAGACATCGCGATGCAGCTTACTGGACTGTCAGTGTATATACAACAGAGGTTAACAAATCCACAATACGATTTCAGTTTCCAGTAAGATTTCTCGAATCAAATGTGCTGTTACGAATAGTCAAACCAGGCAAGAGGAGCAAAAGGCAGTTTATGCATTGGAACGAATGTAGATGGAAGCTTTTTCAAATATGGCAAATGGAAAGACAACAGCCTGAAAAACATTCACATTTCAAAATCAACTTTTATATGCATAAATCTATATGCATGTATCTATATAAACACATTAAGTGTGTGAATAAGCAAACTACACTTAGGAGGAATATTACTTCCAAAGGCATTGTGGCATTTTAGACTGTACATCAACACAGTACTAGCATTCTAAATACAAGAGTCAATTTTATATCAAAAAGCATGGTCACAGCAGTAACATTTAAATATATACTTGAAATTCTATATAAACCCTTTCATAAAGAAAGCATCTCCAAACTATTTCTAATGGTAAGAAGCAGTGAAACTGGTTGCTTTAAAATACTTAAATACACTGGATATTTTTTTTGTGTGGGAAAGAGATGCCTTTTCTGAAATGGTACATATGTGGGAGAAGGAAAAAGCAGCTTTTAACAAATCAGTTTACTGAGAAGTGGGAGTCAGGCGCAGTTTTTGATGAAAAGTTCACTTCGTTTTTACTAAGTTCAGCTTAGAACCTCAGTAAGTTCAGACGTGAGCGAGGACACTCATCTGCTCTTCCAAAACTGAGTCAGATGTTGTTGAAGAGCTACTGGTTATTTCAGGCATTCTCTTAAAGAAAAATATCAAAAGAACCTTAGCTTAGAAATATCTACATCCTTGACAAATCCCCTTGAGAAGGAGCAGAACTGCACATCTGGGGAGTTTTGCATTGTCATTGTCTCTGCATTCACTCTTCAACATATAACTGGAAAAAAGTACTGGACACTTGTGCTAGTCAGGGAAACTTTGTTTGCAACATCAATGAGAATCCCAAACAGGGTCTCTTGAGATGTGACCACACTCAATTTTGCTAGTCCATGCTGATATGGATCACCTGAAGTGCAGATGTGTCTTTTTCACCTGCCTGTTCTTTTGAAAGTTTTGAGGTGTAATCCATGATTTACTGGGGGGGGG